ACAAAAACAACAGACACACACTCACATACACACTTGCACACACAGACACACACTCGCACACACAGACCCACACCCACATACACACTCGCACACACAGACACACACCCGCATACACACTCGTACATGCAGACACACACCCACATACACACCCGCACACACAGACACACACCCACATACACACCTGCACACACAGACACACACCCACATACACACCTGCACACACAGACATACACCCACATACACACCCGCATACACACTCTCACATGCAGACACACACCCACATACACACCCGCACAAACAGACACACACCCACATACACACCCGCACACACAGACACACACCCACATACACACCCACACACACAGACACACACCCACATACACACCCGCACACACAGACACACACCCACATACACACCCGCACACACACATCCACATACACACCCGCACACACAGACACACACCCACATACACACCCGCACACACAGACACACACCCACATACACACCCGCACACACAGACACACACCCACATACACACCCGCACACACAGACACACCCACATACACACCCGCACACACACACACACACACACTCCAGAAGGTAGTGAGCTCAGCTATATGTCCTGGCACTTCAGAATGGCTATAATCTTAAACTGGTCACATGCACGGTGAGGTCACGGTATCTAGCTACTGGTGGGACTGGAACTGGTCACATGCACGGTGAGGTCACGGTATCTAGCTACTGGTGGGACTGGAACTGGTCACATGCACAGGTGAGGTCACGGTATCTAGCTACTGGTGGGACTGGAACTGGTCACATGCACAGGTGAGGTCACGGTATCTAGCTACTGGTGGGACTGAAACTGGTCACATACACGGTGAGGTCACGGTGAGGTCACGGTGAGGTCACGGTATCTAGCTACTGGTGGGACTGGAACTAAAACCATACACAGACAGGTTTGAAAAGTAATTTCCCCCCACCCCCAGCTAAGGGAAGACAACACAAAGACAGAAACTGCCGTGCTGTCTTGTGCTGACACCCCGTGCTGTCTTGTGCTGACACCCCGTGCTGTCTTGTGCTGACACCCCGTGCTATCTTGTGCTGACACCCCGTGCTGTCTTGTGCTGACACTCCGTGCTGTCTTGTGCTGACACCCCGTGCTGTCTTGTGCTGACACTCCGTGCTGTCTTGTGCTGACACCCCGTGCTGTCTTGTGCTGACACTCCGTGCTGTCTTGTGCTGACACCCCGTGCTGTCTTGTGCTGACACTCCGTGCTGTCTTGTGCTGACACCCCGTGCTGTCTTGTACTGACACCCCGTGCTGTCTTGTGCTGACACCCCGTGCTGTCTTGTGCTGACACCCCGTGCTGTCTTGTGCTGACACTCCGTGCTGTCTTGTGCTGACACCCCGTGCTGTCTTGTGCTGACGCCCTGTGCTGTCTTGTGATGACGCCCCGTGATGTCTTGTGATGACACCCCGTACTGTCTTGTACTGACACCACGTGCTGTCTTTTGCTGACACCACGTGCTGTCTTGTGCTGACACCCCGTACTGTCTTGTTCTGACACCACGTGCTGTCTTGTGCTGACACCCCGTGCTGTCTTGTGATGACACCCCGTACTGTCTTGTACTGACACCACGTGCTGTCTTGTGCTGACACCACGTGCTGTCTTGTGCTGACACCCCGTACTGTCTTGTACTGACACCACGTGCTGTCTTGTGCTGACACCCTGTGCTGTCTTGTGCTGACACCACGTGCTGTCTTGAGCTGACACTCCGTGCTGTCTTGTGCTGACACTCCGTGCTGTCTTGTGCTGACACTCCGTGCTGTCTTGTGCTGACACTCCGTGCTGTCTTGTGCTGACACTCCGTGCTGTCTTGTGATGACGCCCCGTGATGTCTTGTGCTGACACCCCGTGCTGTCTTGTGCTGACACCCTGTGCTGTCTTGTACTGACACTCCGTGCTGTCTTGTGCTTACACCCCGTGCTGTCTTGAGCTGACACTCCGTGCTGTCTTGTACTGACACCCCGTGCTGTCTTCTGCTGACACCCCGTGCTGTCTTGTGCTGACACCCCGTGCTGTCTTGTGCTGACACCCTGTGCTGTCTTGTGCTGACACCCTGTGCTGTCTTGTACTGACACTCCGTGCTGTCTTGTGCTGACACTCCGTGCTGTCTAGTGCTGACACCCCATGCTGTCTTGTGCTGACACTCCGTGCTGTCTAGTTCTGACACCCCGTGCTGTCGTGTGATAACACCCAGTGCTGTCTTATGATCACACTCCGTGCTGTCTTGTGCTGACACCACGTGCTGCCTTATGATTACACTCCGTGCTGTCTTGTGCTGACACCCCGTGCTGTTTTATGATCACACTCCGTGCTGTCTTGTGCTGACACCACGTGCTTTCTTATGATCACACTCCGTGCTGTCTTGTGCTGACACCCCGTGCTATCGTGTGATAACACCCAGTGCTGTCTTGTGCTGACACCACGTGCTGTCTTATGATCACACTTCGTGCTGTCTTGTGCTGACACCCCGTGCTGTCTTGTGCTGACACTCCGTGCTGCCTTGTGCTGACACTCCGTGCTGTCTTGTGCTGACACCCCGTGCTGTCTTGTGCTGACACACTGTGCTGTCTTGTGCTGACACCCCGTGCTGTCTTGTGCTGACACCCCGTGCTGCCTTGTGCTGACACTCCGTGCTGTCTTGTGCTGACACTCCGTGCTGTCTTGTGCTGACACCCCGTGCTGTCTTGTGCTGACACACTGTGCTGTCTTGTGCTGACACCCCGTGCTGTCTTGTGCTGACACACTGTGCTGTCTTGTGCTGACACCCCGTGCTGTCTTGTGCTGACACCCCGTTATGTCTTGTGCTTACACACCGTGCTGTCTTGTGCTGACACCCAGTGCTGCCTTGTGTACACACCCCGGTGACATACAACATAATACAACAGTGCAGATAGTCTGCTGTATCACGTGACCGACAGTATTGATGACAACAAAACAACAGCACCCTTTGAATATTTCATAAGCGATTCTGCTGACATCTGGCATTTGATCGTTTATCTTCCATTTTCTGGGATCTGTCTGTCTGTCTCTCCTTCTCTGTCCGACGGTGTGTGTGTTTGTATGGGTATTTTTGTGCGGCTACGTGTGTGTAGGTATGTGTGTGTATATCTGTGTGTGTCTGTATGTGTCTGGGTTTTATGCGTGTGTGTTTTAGAGTGTGTGTCTGTTTGAGTGACTGTATGTATGTGTGTGTATGTATGTGTGTGTGTGTGCATTTTCGTATGTATGTGGATGTATGTGTGTATTGGGTGCCTATGTGTGTGTGTGTATGTATAAGTGAGTAAATGGGTTTGCGTGTGTATGTGGGTGTGTGTGTTCGCGCGCGAGCGTGCGCATAATTTTATCACACATGCCTTTTTTTTTCACTTGATATTCTTAAAATGCATATTATTACATGAACATTACATGCTTTATTGATGAAATACAACTGCTGTGTGAAAGATTTCAGAAGGGCCGAATGTAAGACAGGCCTGCGTGCGTAATTTGTAACCCTTTGAAAATAAAGTTTGTTCGTTCGTTCTCTAATTACTCTTGTGTATTTCTTCAAAATTTCATTCTCCTGCCGAATAGTAGAGTGGCAGAACCAGCGAAGAAGTTACTCCTGGGGTCAGTCATCACACAGAGGACAGTAGTCATCACACAGAGGACAGCAGTCATCACACAGAGGACAGCAGTCATCACACAGAGAACAGCAGTCATCACACAGACGACAGTAATCATCACACAGAGGACAGTAGTCATCACACAGAGGACAGCAGTCATCACACAGAGGACAGCAGTCATCACACAGAGGACAGCAGTCATCACACAGAGGACAGCAGTCATCACACAGAGGACAGCAGTCATCACACAGAGGACAGTAGTCATCACACAGAGGACAGTAGTCATCACGCAGAGGACAGCAGTCATCACACAGAGGACAGCAGTCATCACACAGAGGACAGCATTCATCACACAGAGAACAGTAGTCATCACACAGAGGACAGTAGTCATCACACAGAGGACAGTATTCATCACACAGAGGACAGCATTCATCACACAGAAGACAGTAGTCATCACACAGAGGACAGTAGTCATCACACAGAGGACAGCAGTCATCACACAGAGGACAGTAGTCATCACACAGAGGACAGTAGTCATCACACAGAGGACAGCAGTCATCACACAGAGGACAGCAGTCATCACACAGAGGACAGCATTCATCACACAGAGGACAGCAGTCGTCACACAGAGGACAGCATTCATCACACAGAGGACAGCATTCATCACACAGAGGACAGTAGTCATCACACAGAGGACAGCATTCATCACACAGAGGACAGCATTCATCACACAGAGGACAGTAGTCATCACACAGAGGACAGTAGTCATCACACAGAGGACAGTAGTCATCACACAGAGGACAGTAGTCATCACACAGAGGACAGTAGTCATCACACAGAGGACAGCAGTCATCACACAGAGGACAGTAGTCATCACACAGAGGACAGTAGTCATCAATCACACAACAGTCATCCAAAGAGAAGCAGAAGATATGAGGTGAAGAAACATGGAGCCCGGTACAAAGCAAACTCTTTTATATCAAAAAGTAGATTTTAAAACACACTTGCACACACACACACACACATTAATACACACACACTTACACACACACACTAACACACACTAACACACACACACTCACACACACACTTACACACACTAACACACACACACACTCACGCACACCCATTTACACACACACACACACTCACTCACACACACACACACACTGAACAAGAATAGGACAAAATATCTAGAAGTTTATGACAACGTAAACATCTTCGAATGTCTAAACATGAAATAGCCAACCTGGCAATGGAAGAGAAACATTGCATAGAAATATTAGACCAAAAAAAAGTAGAGGTGGATACAAGAGACCAAAGATCAGGCAAAAGAAAACACAGACGACATTAGGCATGACTGTGGTGGTGGGTCCAGCACGGAACTGTTGGAAGTGACTCGGACTCAGACAATGCACTTCTCAATGACCAGTCTCCTAATGACCCTTTCAAATCTACGTCCAGAATGAGCTGTTTCTAAACTGACCCTATCACGGCCGTTAGGAGACATTCAAGCAACGGCCGTTAGGAGACATTCAAGCAACGGCCGTTAGGAGACATTCAAGCAACGGCCGTTAGGAGACATTCAAGCAACGGCCGTTAGGAGACATTCAAGCAACGGCCGTTTGGAGACATTCAAGCAACGGCCGTTAGGAGACATTCAAGCAACGGCCGTTAGGAGACATTCAAGCAACGGCCGTTAGGAGACATTCAAGCAACGGCGGTTAGGAGACATTCAAGCAACGGCCGTTAGGAGACATTCAAGCAACGGCCGTTGGGAGACATTCAAGCAACGGCCGTTAGGAGACATTCAAGCAACGGCGGTTAGGAGACATTCAAGCAACGGCCGTTATGAGACATTCAAGCAACGGCCGTTAGGAGACATTCAAGTTACAGCCGTTAGGAGACATTCAAGCAACGGCGTTTAGGAGACATTCAAGCAACAGCCGTTAGGAGACATTCAAGCAACAGCCGTTAGGAGACATTCAAGCAAATCAACAAAGCCATAGAATCAGCAACTAGTTAAACAGAGACGCATTTCCACTCATTCTCGTATCAGTCGCACACTTCATTATCCATCAACGGATGACAAAAGTATACGTAGTGGCACCGTGTATATTTGTGGAACATTAATTATACTGTGGTCGTTTGAATAACATTGGCCCTTGCCATCGAGGGAGAAAACTCCTCTGGGGCCCATTTCATTTTACATAGGGACAATTTGTGGGCATAATAACAGCGCTGTCACGTGAGAGACCTGGGTAGCTGCCAACTCGAAGGTTGTGACTTCAAGCTTCGCTAATTCGATGGTTGTGACTACAAGCTTCTCCAACTCAAATGTTGTGACTACAAGCTTCTCCAACTCAAATGTTGTTACTACAAGCTTCTCCAACTTAAAGGTTGTGACTACAAGCTTCTCCAACTTAAAGGTTGTGACTACAAGCTTCTCCAACTTAGAGGTTGTGACTACTGGCTTCTCCAAATTAAAGGTTGTGACTACAAGCTTCTCCAACTTAGAGGTTGTGACTACAAGCTTCTCCAACTTAAAGGTTGTGACTACAAGCTTCTCCAACTTGAAGGTTGTGACTACTGGCTTCTCCAACTTAAAGGTTGTGACTACAAGCATCTCCAACTTAAAGGTTGTGACTACAAGCTTCTCCAACTTAAAGGTTGTTACTACAAGCTTCTCCAACTTAAAGGTTGTGACTACTGGCTTCTCCAACTTAAAGGTTGTGACTACAAGCTTCTCCAACTTAAATGTTGGGATTACAAGCTTCTCCAACTTAAATATTGGGATTACAAGCTTCTCCAACTTAAATGTTGTGACTACAAGCTTCTCCAACTTAAAGGTTGTTACTACATGCTTCTCCAACTTAAATGTTGTGACTACAAGCTTCTCCAACTTAAATGTTGTGACTACAAGCTTCTCCAACTTAAATGTTGGGATTACAAGCTTCCCTAAATCAAAGGTTTTAAGTTCAAGCTTCCTTAACTCAAAGGTTGCGAGTACTAGCTTCCCCGAGTCGAAAGTTGTGACTGCAAGCTTCCCCCAGTCGAAGACTGTGACTCCAAGCTTCCCCAACTCTAAGGTTGTGACTGCAAGCTTCCCCGACTCAAAGGTTATGAGTTTAAGTTTGCCCAAGCTGAACATCCTGATTCGTATCACTAGTAACAAACAACTTCAGACGCTGGCCTTAGTTTTAATGTAGCCGCAATTTTGGTTCCAGAGGTCGGTGAAAGGATACAAACTCTTTACATGTATACTGTGTGCCTCAGTCTCTTCTCACGGCAAACTATCAGTTAGACAGTCGGACAGCTAATCAGTGAGACGGATTTTATTATGGTAAGTAAAAGTTCCGCTGTTAGGTATGCAGTGTGGAGAGGACCCAAAAAAGGGGTTGGGGGGGGGGGGGGTGGGGGCAAATGTGAAAATCATTAATTTTATCTCAATACTATTGAGACAGATGGGGTGATTATCTAAATGTTTAAGAGGATCAGTGTTTGTCTCCCGCATGAGGTGGCACTCACGATTCAAATCTGAAGAGTGAAGATAAAAATGGCCGGGACATCCAGGTTTTAGGTCGTAGTGATAAACTCATTGACAAGGTCAGAGCAACCATTAAATCGTGACATCAATACTTTAAACCCTGACTTAAGGAATAACGCAACAGTCAAACCGTGACACAAAGATGACTGCAACCGTCAAACCGTGACACAAAGATGACTGCAACAGTCAAGCCGTGACACGAAGATGACTGCAACAGTCAAACCGTGACACGAAGATGACTGCAACAGTCAAACCGTGACACAAAGATGACTGCAACCGTCAAACCGTGACACGAAGATGACTGCAACAGTCAAGCCGTGACACGAAGATGACTGCAACAGTCAAGCCGTGACACGAAGATGACTGCAACAGTCAAGCCGTGACACGAAGATGACTGCAACAGTCAAACCGTGACACGAAGATGACTGCAACAGTCAAACCGTGACACGAAGATGACTGCAACAGTCAAACCGTGACACAAAGATGACTGCAACCGTCAAACCGTGACACGAAGATGACTGCAACAGTCAAGCCGTGACACGAAGATGACTGCAACAGTCAAGCCGTGACACGAAGATGACTGCAACAGTCAAGCCGTGACACGAAGATGACTGCAACAGTCAAACCGTGACACGAAGATGACTGCAACAGTCAAACCGTGACACGAAGATGACTGCAACCGTTAAACCTTTAGATTAGGACACCTGCAACAGTTAAACCGTAGCA